TCCTAGGCGCATGACAGACAACATCATATCAGGAGAACCTACTCTATTCAACCTCTAGATCCAAATCAGTCACTAACATAGTAACATGCATTCGATACAAATCCTAAGCTCAATAGAAGCTTTATACTAACCAAATTTTTTACTTGCAAATGATTTTCTAACAAAGCTATTAGAATGTCCATTTTAGTGGGCAATTATATAAAGCACCACCTAATGAAATATAATCACACCAGTGGTCCAGTGCAGTCCACACAATCATAAGGCAGAGAATGCCCCAAGCCAGAGAAGTGATTATTCGGTCCGAAAAGATAAGTCATTAAGGCCCCGTTTGGTTTGATGTAAAATGTTTTCATAGAATATGATTTTCCCATTATTTCCCAGTTCCTTTGTTTGGTTTGTGAAGGAGTGGAAAATAATTTTTCCAATGGTGGAAAATTGCATTCATAATGGTGGAAAGCATTTTCCTTCACAAAACAAGGAAGCCACATTTTCATCCCTTCTCCTTATCTCCTTTTTTACTTTCATCCATCCCCACATTTTCACTCCTATTTTTAATTTCTTTTTACCTTTTCTTATAGGAACCAAACAAAGGAAAACTATCTTGCAAGTGTGGTTTTCCTTGAAAATATATTTTCCATGAAACTAATGTTTCATTGAAAATGTTTTACATCAAACCAAACGGGGCCTAAGTCATTACTGATACCACTAACCATCTCTATCAATTCTTTTACTAGAAAACCAAAGGCAACATTTTAAACAAAGCATTAATAAAACTAGATCAGCTAGAGTTATATTTCCATTCAAAATAACAAATAGACTGGCCTAATAAGGTCATCATGGTTGAATAACTGCAATTTCCGTCCGCAACTAATAGTCACGTTGATAGCGTAATTTGAATTAGTAACATAACAAATACTCCGTAAATCCAGACCGAGGCAGTATAAGTGAGAAAGCGAAAGATAGCCAACCATGTTGAAGTGACGCTTGAGTAAGAGACGCTTCGGCAAACGAACGAACTTGGTGATCAGTATCAAGTGTAGCATTCAAACAATTGATAAGCCATTGTTGATCTTGATCAAGGTTAATCGCACTCGCCATAGTTGAAATTCACCAAAATCTCAACAATTATCCCTAAACCATTTCAACAAAATTTAAATTAAAAAAGTCAGAAAAATCAACAGTATACAAATTGAAAATCGACTATAATCGGAAAATGAAAAATCGAAGCAATTGAATTGAATAATACTGTAATAATCTGGAATTATAAAACAAAAGGAGAGAGAAATTGAAATTGAAAATTGAAAGAGGAGAAGATGGTATTACCAGGTTGTTTGGAGGTTTACTAGGGTTTAAGAGAGGGAGTTGCTTTTTGAAATGCAGCAAATCCCGGCAACACACACACTCTTTCTTATAATAGTAGCCAGCAGAGTTAATCAGTGGCGGGGGTATTTTTGCGCTTTGGGAGTTAGAAAGGAGGGAGTTGATACATTGGACAACTCAAAAGTATCCTAAGAGACTATGTGGTGTAATCATTATGTATGCAACTAAGGTTAAATGGTTAACAATTTGTTCGGATCATACATTTGTTGTAAGAGCACCTACAATGGTGGGCATTATTTTTGCTTATGGGTATCTTGATGGGCAAGTATGTGAAAATTTAGGTTACAATGGTGGGCTAAGTATTAGTTTCCCATGGGCATGTGTTAAAATGCCCAAGACTTGGGCAGAAATTGGGTTGAACAGTTAGATGGTGGGCCCACATATTGCTGATTTAAATAAAAAAAATTCGGTGGAGGCAGCATCAAAACGATGCGTTTAATGTTGCACCGAAGAAGAAGCGAGATCAAAACGGTGCGTTTTGACCTGAGCTTTCTGGAAAGGAAAAAAAACAGTGGACTGACGCGTCAGTCAATGGACGAATGCTGGAGCGCCACGTGGCAGATGCAGGAAGCTGGCCAATAGGAAGATTCTAGTTGTTGCCAACGGTAATAATGTTTGTAATGTAATTTCTGAAATAAATATTTATTAAAAAAAAAAATTACCAACGGTCATAAAATTTAATTCTCTATAAATAGACATGCATTTTGGTATATTTTGGTATAATTTCATAAATACCATAAATCCTCCATATTCTTTATTTTTCTAAATATTCCGAAATTAGAAGAAGATTTTTGCTTTACTTCACCGATTTTCAGGTAAATATTAATTTATTTATTTTTTTTTTTTGCAAAATTCAGCTATTTATTAAAATTAGTATATATGTGATTTTTTTGCAAATTAAAAAATGTAGTTCATGTAATGTAATTGCAATTATATATATAACTGTATTTAGAAAATTGTTGTTATTTTGTTCATACATTAATAAATTTGAAATTAATTTAATCTGAATTTATTTGCTAATTTTTTGGAAATTGGGTTGTTGTTTTGTATAGGTGAAGTAATTTGTTATGTTAAATTATATTTATATGTTATTTTTGTATAGGTAGTTAATTTCGTTGTATTATATTATGTATTATATGTTTTGTTTATATATTGTTGAACGTGAATGTTGTATATTTAATAAATTAAGTGGTATTAGATTATATTTTTTGATCTGTTGTCATTTTATTTTGTTATTTAAATGTAGTTAAAATTGTTGCAAGTTGTATATTAGTAAATTAAGTGTTGTGAAAGTTAGGTTATGTACAAATGTTAAAAAAAATGGTTAAAATTTTATGTTGTGAATGTCATGTCTTATTAAATATTTTTAAACATATTTGTTTTTTGTTTTGTGATGCAGAATCTTTTAATGGATCCGAACAACCCAAATTTCCGTCAACAATTTTCTGGTTTTAGTGATGATTTCCTAACTAATCCCGAGTTTCAATTGTTCTTGCAAAGAATGGGAAATACGTCTTTGCAACCACCTCCACAACATCAGACACCCATTGAATTTCCCCTAGAACACTATGATAATGAAGAACGTAAACCTGAAACTGATCATGGTAGCAACACCCAATTCGATGACAGTGAAGAGGAAAACGTACCAGAGACGCCGCAGTATCCTCCACAAGCTCCCAGAATGCAAGCCAACCAAGTTGCTGCACGAGCGACTCGTGTTTGGTCTATTGCGGAAGATGAAGCTCTGATTGGGTTGTACTTGCAGATTAACGAAGATGCTATTAAAGGTACGAACCAGAAAGCAACTGACCTATGGCGCAATGTACACGTAGCATATCAAATGGCTCATGCGGAGAAGCCGCATATACTTCCGCCAAGACCTATGAAGAGTCTGTCGTCGCACTGGAGAAGGTTGGCAGCAGACACACTACAATGGATATCTTGCTATGATGAAGCGGGTAGACTTCCGGAGGGAGGGAGTGGTTACAACGAAGCTGACCGTGTAAAAAGTGCATCGAAGCTTTTTCATCTGGCCAAAGGTCACAATTTCAGTTTTCCTCACGCAGTTGAAATGCTTAATAAAGATCCAAAGTGGAGGCCAAAGCTGAGATGGTCATTGTCAAAGGAGGAAAGAAAAGTTGTTTGTGATGTTGAGGAGCAAGGTAGTGCTGGAAGTGGGAAGAGGTCGAGAGATGATGTAGGGGATGAAACCCCTACGGATGGTTTTTCATATAGAGGAATACGACGACCCGATGGTGTGAAGAAAGAAAAGGACAAGCGTAAAGGGAAAGCAGTGGCTACAGAAAGTGGTTCGTCTGACCTTAGCGAACAAATGAAGGAATTCGCTACAATTCGCGAAAGGGAGGCCATTCCGAAGGAAGAGAGGATAAAAATTGAAAAGGATAAGGAACGGAGGAAACGGTAGGAACTTGACATTCATAAGATGAGAACCATGTTTGATATGCTGTGAACTCTGAAGAATTCGCCTACGCCACTCACTCCTCAAGAAGAGGCGTACAAGAATTTTTTACTTGGTAAATTACAAGGCTCTTAAGCATGTTATTGTAGTTGGTCTACGCTTGTATTACTCAAGTTTTTAATTATGCTATTGTAGTTGGTCTATGTTTGTATTAGTTAAGTTTTTAATTATGCGCAATGTAGTCTTTTATTTTTAACTTGTATTAGTGGTGTATTTAATTTCAATGTCAGATGTAAACTTGTATTCTGATTATCCAATATTGAATGACAAGTTGTTTAACAAGTTGATTTCAATTGTCATTGTTACCGACATAATTGCATTCACTTTTTTCATTGTGTAGTCACTTTTTTCTGAATTCACTTTGTCAGAATGCTTTAACTTTTGGTCATTGATACTGACATAACTGCACTCAAGATTTGTCATTGGCAACTAGCATAATATACCTATTCCGTGGCTGAAAATTTGATTCCTTCAGTTGGTGTGGTCATTCAGATTTGTAACCACATATTAATTTGATATATTTTCTATATATAGTAAGCATGGCACATTTCCACAACCACACCAATTCAGAAACTTACATTATTAATACAAGATGTATTACAGACCATCATCAAGTTCAAGTTCAAGTTCATCTTCTTCAAATACTGAAGAATATGATCAACTCGTTGATGAACTCTTCACATACCAACCCCCAACTTTCCTCATGCCCCAAACACAATCCCAACCCACTACAAAAACACCCAGAGGGGGTACGAATAGAATAGATAAGGAAATGGGACATGCCAGACTGTTTAATGATTATTTTTCCGATAATCATGTGTACAACACCAACCAATTTAGAAGAAGATTTCGAATGCAACGACCTTTGTTTTTACTTGTAATGAACAAGGTCGTTGAAGGTGATGTTTACTTCCAGCAGCGTAGGGATGCAGCTGGAAGGTTAGGCTTATCACCTATGCAAAAATGTACAGCCGCGATAAGAATGTTAGCCTACGGCTTGGCTGCAGACGCCGTGGATGAATACGTTTGAATCAGTTAGTCAACCGCTCGAGTTGCCCTTCAACGTTTTTGTGCCGGGGTCATTGATCAGTTCGGAACCGAGTACCTGCAAAATCCTACGACTGATGATTCAGCCCGAATAATGCATCAAAATGAACTGTGTGGTTTTCCAGGCATGATAGGCAGCATTGATTGCATGCATTGGGAATGGAAGAACTGTCCAACGGCTTGGAAAGCGCAGTATGCCGGTAGAAATAAGAAAGCAACGCTAATACTGGAAGCCGTTGCGGATCGAGATTTATGGATCTGGCATTCCTTCTTTGGTATTCCCAAATCTTGTAATGATCTTAATGTGTTTTACCATTCACCAGTGTTCGATGAGGTTTTGCATGGTCGAGCTCCTCCGGTAAATTTTACAGTTAACGGCCATGAATACAACATGGCTTATTACTTAGCCGACGGCATTTATCCAAAGTGGGCAACTTTTATTCATGGTATCACACACCCTCAACTTCAAAAGGATAAAATGTTCGCTTACCACCAGGCTGCTGCTCGGAAGGACGTTGAAAGAGCTTTCGGTGTTTTGCAAGCTCGATTTGCAATAATACGAAAATTGTCACTGGCGTACGATGAGGACATACTGCGGGACATAATGAAAGCATGTATCATTATGCACAACATGATTGTTGAAGATGAGCGCCACAACTACACTTGAGTCGAAGTTCTAAGAAGCTTCTATGAAGAAGATCAACAAGATTTAACAACAGCATCAACGTCTACTACGCCACCGTTTGAATTCAACGTAGGCCGACCTACCAACTTTGACTTTAACTCATTTATACAACAAAAAGCTTCCCTCTGTGATAGAGAAACTCATCTATCTCTGAAAAGTGATTTAGTCGAACATATTTGGTTACAATACGGGCCAATTAATTAGGGAAAAATTAGCACGACTTAAATAAGGCCAACTACTATGGCCTACCTACTTTTCCGTACGCAGTCGTTTTTTTTTTAATTGTTTTGTTTATTTTATTCCCTAAGTTTAATTACGCATGACGTTTCAAATGTAATCGGTTTCTAGTAATGTACCGCTTTTTAAAATAAATAAAAACATTTACGAAATTTTTAGCATTTTGTTACAATTATTTCATCTAATGTACATAATTTAACGACATATTTTACTGATAAAAACAACACAAATAAAAAAATAAGTTACACAAATTTAGACTAGTTTTTATTTATTTGGAGTAATATTGTTAAAATATAAATGAAATTAATAAATAAAGAAGTGTTGTGTAGGAGAGAGAAAGTAATGGTGGGGTATTGAAAAAGTAAGAGAGAGAGTGGTGGGCAAGCATTATTTTTGCTCACCATTGGGAGAGAAATTGTGAAAAAAAAATTGTCTATGGGCAAAACTGATTTGTTGAGAGAGAAAGTGGGTAGAGTGATATTGGGCAAGCATTATTTTTGTCCACCATTAGAAGTGGTCTAATAAATAAAAACAGAACAAAAGAGTTTTCATTCTGCATAGTTAAATTTCTTTTGTTCCAAATATGTTTAAATCACGCACTTTTAGGATGTATATAGAGAGTTAAAATAAATGACTTAATCAACACAATTTTAACATTGCTAATAGGAAAGGTTAGATACAATTCATACAACGTCGTAGGTGTACTAATTAGTTTGATTGATTTGCTTGTTTACATTATCTAATGATTTTCTTAAAGTGCATGTCGTGAGACTATGTTACAATAGTTAAAAGAAAATAAGGGTAGTGTTAGGTTACTAAACTAAATTTTTTTCTTTTCCATTTTTGGTTGAAACATACATGAGATCATAGTAAAGAGGAAGGGTAGAATTGAGAAAAAATTTAATATTTACACTTTCCTAAAGCAACTTCTGTTTCTATTGAATACAAAATATCTTTGCAACCTACTTCATTGATATCATTAGAAAACTTTTGAATACGCATGGCATGGCCATGGATTGGTGGAAAAATATACTCAAAAAAAAAAAACCATCTTATTTTTCAAGGGAATTAAAAAGATGTAATTTTATGCTTACCAAGGACATGACTTATAGACTAAAGGCAACATTTTGGTTGAATGTCTCTTAAACGACACTAAGAAGCCATTTAACCTACCTTGCCAACCATGGCTTCCAAGAAGTGCGAGCGCTAGGATGTTTTGATCTGTGGAAACAAGGGTTTTGGCCACTAATTTTGGGGTTTGCTCATATATAATGCGGAGTTGATGAGGGTATTGCGTTGCCAAGCAATTGCTTGAAATGGAGATCACAAAAAAGTCCAATTAATTGTTGTTTGAAGTAGTTGTTCACTTAGCTTGCTGGTGGAGCTGTGGAGGGCTTGCCTCATATCTTTTTCTTATTTATTACCTTATATGAAATAAAAATAGGAGATTTCATTAAGGAAAGCTAATCGAGAGCAAATTTTAGAACTCATTAGTTTAGGCTAGATATTGATAGTCAAAGTTGAAAATACGTTAGGGTGAAAATTAAACCTCTCTTAGGCCCTGTTCTTTTGAGCTTCCGGATAGGGCAGAGCAGGAGTTAGCAAAATAGAGCATAGCAAAACAGAGCAAAGCAGAGCAGATTTCAGCAAAGCAGAGCAAATTTCATTATGGACATGCCACTAATTGCTTTACTAGGAACTGAAATAATTAAAATGCGGAAACGAATCTAAGAATCCTAAAAGAAATGAAACTACAAAAATCTAGTCCTTTTGAACATTATCCTTCTTGTCGGTAGATTGTTTGTAGTTTCCAGGATCGAATTCAGGGTCATCTTTTTCCTCCATTGGTTCAGGTGACTCTGGTTCTTGCTCTACTTGGATAAACTCTTCATCTTCCTCATCGTCAGATGAAATGTCGATTATAATTGGAGTTGGAGGTGGATTTGGATTTGGATTGGATTTGGAATCTCCATAATGGAACTATCAACAATATGGTTACTCTCATCCATCATCTTTCCTTCTTCCTGTCCTCCATCTGTCCCTGCTTGATTACCCTGAGTAGGAGAAGAACTTCCTGACTGACGACTAGTGGAAGGGGAATTATTCCCTGCTGGATTTTCATAGTAGTAATTGGGATATGGAATGTGTAAGTGCTGGCAATGATCTTTCTCAACTCTAACGAGGTAAGAAATCAAGTATCTGTAATCAGGGTACCACTGTCCATAGAAATTTTTGTATTTAGAGTAGTTTGGGATGTCCCCTGGTAAATAGAAATCAGAGAACTTTGATTTAACAGCAAGATATGGGGGTTTATCTGGAAGACAGTGAATAATCATAACAGAAACACGATCAGGAAGATCATAGTGCTTGTCTCCTAAGACATCGCTCATATGGGAACAATAGAATTGGATTTTTCTTGACATAGTCAAACGGATGTTCATTGTTTTTCTTAACTAAAGTACCAATTTGGGAATGTTTGCTAGGAAGAATCGGCATCCTGTAAAGGAAAAGACTTAGAAAAGAATTCCCTTCCCCAAAGAAAATAAAATAATACAGTTCTTGCATGAGTTAGGTTCAATGTTCAATCAACACAATTTCACCTATTCTTAATCAATAATCACATGCTTTCAATTAATCAATCCACATGATCAAACATCACAACCTAAAATATTAATGCATACAAGAATATAATTATTTCTAACTTATATGCCCCAACTTCTTTCCTACACAAGCTCACCAACATGCTTTTAAAAGCTTTTAACACATAATACTTACCTCAATCCTTGCTTTTCTACAAAATGATCAAACTAAAAATATTTTTGACTCCTCTTTTAAAATTAATTTTCAAAAATAAGCTCGGAAAAAGGCCAAATTAAAAAAAAAAATTCGGACACCCCAAAATAAATAAAAAAATTCGGATGTCCTTTATAAAAAAAAAAAAAAAAAAAATTGGATTTTCTACAATAAAAAAAAAAATTCGGACCTTTTTTTTTTAAAAATAATGAATAAATTTTCCGGTTTCCAAAAATTAAAATAAGTGAAAATAACTTTCTCTTAAAATAACTTAATTAAATAAGCACTTGGCCAAGCTTAAAACAAAACACTTTAAAACACGTTTTTGGCTTTAGTGGTAATAAAAATCTCAACCGAAGCTCCCAGAAACCACTTTGTAACACCCTAGAAATTTCTTTCCTTTAAAATACCTGTTTTGCCCTTTTTAAATACGAAATAGGAAAATCTAAGATATTATCGCCACCGTGAAAACAGCTAAGGCAAATATCAAAGACACACAGTGGAAGACTTTCTTTAAAACCATTCAAAACAAGTCAACTTAAAAGTCAAACCAAAAGAAAGTAAAGTCAAACAAAGTCAACCTACAGCTTGGAACCATTTTAGGCCCTTAAAACCAAACAATACTGAAAACCTTTACGTTAGTCTCATGAGCATAATAAAATAAATAATCATTCAAGCAAATAAACACATTATATTCCTATGGAAACAAAGCATGATTCGCTCTTCACTCATGCCCATCATGAAAATGTTTCATCACCTGAAAAACTTCTCTTTACTTGTCCCCACTACTCGGCATTAGAAATGGGTCGTCGTAGGGCCAAGGTAAAGACAAGGCTAAAGAAACATACAACACACAATCAGCAATGCTGAGTACATAAGCGTAATAAAACACACCTATCATGCTTATATCCTATCATCACACAACTTACCTTGTTGCACCTGTAACTAAGCATACAAAACATTCAACACTTAACTAGACAAATACCAATGTCCATTTAATTTGATTACGCATCGAACGAGTTTTCCCCTAACCTGCCATAATAAAAAGGTACTAACACGGGAGCTAACCGTGCAAGTATAAAAGAACCACTCGTAAGTGGCGGAATTCATGCGCATAAAAAAAAAGGAATATACAGCGTCCTGTATTCCCAGTAGAAGTTATGGTCAAATATAAAGTCGCATAATTCCCCCCATATGTTCATACTTAAGGTATATACGTTTCAAGAGTTTTGGTGTGTAATCTCTTTCACTTTACGTTATTTACATATTATTATACTTCGTGATGACCCTCAAACCACAACACAATCAAACATTATAATTCATTCAAGCAATCAAACATACCAAATTAATTCTTGAATAATTGATGACCACATAAATTAAATGTTGAATCCTTTTTAAACTACCTTGGTGTTAAATAACACCTTAAGCGCATAAAACACCACAAATCCTATCCCCCGGTGTTTAGAACACCTTAAGTGCACTTAGGCACCCAAAATATAATTTAATCCTCGCGTACATAGACACTTAAATAGCTCATTTCTCATGCTTATAGCATCAATAAAAGCTATATAAACCATAATAAAATTTCCTTTTCATATTCCAAACCAAATTAAACATTTAGTTTAATTAACACATGCTCTCCATCATGCCAACAATAAAAGTGTTGTTCATAATCAACATGCTAACATAATTAATTCCAATCACTAATTCATCATAAATAATTCGTACATCACAAGTCATTCACCAACATCAATCATACAACAAATTCCAACCAACACCTATCATGATAATACTTGGAATTAATTTATCAAAGCCTAGCATGCTTCTGCATATTCAAATAATTACCAAGTACGCGAATGTACTTTGAATATGATCTCAAAATCGCCACGACTAAATAAAATCACTCACTCGGAAACCTCCTACAAACCAAAATTACAAAGAGGCATTAATAC